AATTCAAATAAAAGTCTTAACTTAATAGTTATAACAATCACAACACTTCGAAATAACAGTTTACAGTAAAATATACCAATTTAAATGATAATACATTGGATTTTCTATAAAATTCAAATAGAAGTTTTGCTTCAATAGTTATAATAATTACAATACTTCGAAATAATTGTTCACATCAAAATATAATAATTTAAATAATGATAAATCATATTATCATAAAATTCAAATAAATGTTTTACCTAAATAATTATAACAATTACAATATTTATAAACAATTATTAATAATAAAATGTATCAATGTAGATGATGAGACACAAGATATACTAGAACATTGAAAGATAAATTTTGACTCAATAGTTACAACAATTATAACTATTTCGAATAACTATTCATAATAAAATGTATCAATTTATATTATGATATATCAGATTCATCAAAAAATTTAAAAGAATTTTGGTTTCAATAGTTATAACAATTACAATACTTCGAAATAGTTGTTCATATTAAAATATATCAATTTATACGATGATAAATCAGCTTCTCGAAAAAATCAAATAGAAGTTTTGTTTCAATAGTTATAACAATCACAATATTTCAAAATAGTTGTTCATATTAAAATATACCAATTTTGACGATGATAAATCAGATTCTCAAAAAATTCAAATAGAAGTTTTACCTCAATAGTTATAACAATCACAATAGTTATAAATATTTGTTAACAGTAAAATGTATCAGTTTAGATGATGATACACCGAATCTACTATAACATTGAAAGAACAATTTTGACTCAATAATTATAACAATTACAACTCTTCTAAACAACTGTTCACAATAAAATGTACCAATTTAGATGATGATAGATCGGATTCACCATAAAATTTATATAGAAGTTTTGCCTCAATAGTTATGATACTCACAATAACTCTAAACAGCTGCCCGCAGTAAAATGTATCAATTTAAATGATGATACATCAAATCTACCAAAAAAATTTAAATAAAAGTTAAATTTCAACACTTACAACAATCACAATACTTGAAATTATTTTTTCCCTCCTTTTCAATTACACCATCATATTAAATATGATTTTTAATTAGCTTTCATTTTTTAAAATCTCAATGTAGTAAAATATATAATGTTAGTATATATATATGATATATATAACCATTAGATTTCTCAATTGTATATATATGATTGTATATAATTATGTAGTATTCATAAACACATAGGAGAGGTTGATATTTCCAAGGTTGTATACACAAAATAAATCATCTTATTCTTAAAAAAAAAGTTAGTTTAATATTTTTGCAATTTTGTTTTAATATATATACTCTTTTAACTCGCGAATTTAAAAAGGGTTTAGAATCTACGGCTAGGAGAAGAGATCTCCAAATGCGGCCTAATCCAACGGTGGCTACGCCAACCATCACTCAAAAACGACGTATCACCCGGGAAAACCCCAACTCCGGGTCTGTATATGCATATAGCGCATTTTAGCACTATCCTTCGAGGAATACAGAATGACTAAACTGTCCCTGATCTTCTTCTAAAATCCCACCACCCGAACGTTAAAACCGTCCTCTGGCCCTTTTACATCACTGACTCGTATATAAACTAAACGTTTCCCGGCGATTTCGTAACATCACCATAAAACACAATACACCGGAGAAGAAACGAAGAAAAATCTCTCCGGAAGATTTTATCGAGAAAACTCCGACGAAAAATCTCGACGAGAGAAATTTACAAAACTGCTTTGTTTGATCTTCAGCTGAGGTTGCTTGAGGAAGGCAGCGCAAGGGAGTGCCCCGATCAATGGTGTATTCTGGTGAGAAGGAGAAAGTGCGCGAGTTCATGGAGATGGGACCCAGCGCGATCGACGCCTCTCCACAATTTCACGTTGCCGTGCTTGAAGTGGGGTAACCACATGTACCTTAGGTGCTTGAAGGTGGAATCTGCCGCCGCCAGTGATCAACGACTTCGCCGCCGATCTCCTTTCGGGGAAATTTGAGGATTCGTCGGTGGTGGCTAATACTCGTCGTAGGGAGCCTCAAAAGAGCGACTACCAGCACAACAACCAGAACCGCCGAATGAAGAAGGTGCCGTCGAGATCGAGAGTTGAAGACGGCGAGGAAGGGATCGACGAAGTGAGGGAGAAGATTATGTTGGATCTGAAAACGGCGGCGGATAAGATGAAAGATGCGATTTTGAGAGAGGAAGTGTCTGACGACGACGGAGAAGATGATGAAGTAGAGGAGAAAGCCAAACGGAAGGAGAAGGAGAAAGATAAGGAAAAGAAGAAGGAAAGAGAGGAATCCCCTGCGGCGGCTGAAGAGGTGAGGCCGTGGAATCTGAGGACCAGGCGGTCAGCGTGTAAGGCGCCGATTGGTGGAGCGGGAAACAACCACCAGAATGCCGACTACGGGAACAATTACAATAAAGGATTGAAGATTGAGGAGAGGAGACTGAATTGTTCGCCGATGAGGACTGAGGTGATGAAGTCGCCGAGGATGAGGGAAAGAGGAGGACTTACAGAAAAGGGGAGGGTGAAGTTCTCGATACCATTAACGAAGATGGAGATCGAGGATGATTACATGGAGTTGGTAGGCCACCGACCACCCCGCCGGCCAAAGAAGCGGCCAAGGATTGTGCAGAAGCTACTGGATGTAAGTTTCTTTTAATCCAAGCATTGAATTGTTTTTCCGGTTGCGGTTTCTGATTCATTATCTTCTTGAAAAGAATTCAAACATGATTTTCTGACTGTATTCATGCTTTTTCGTCGCAGCCGTTGTTTCCCGGGTTATGGTTGACGGAGGTCACTGTTGACACCTACAGGGTGGAGATCGCTGAGAACGGGAAGGTAATATAGCTCTGTTCTATGCCTTGGGTTTGGACCTTTTTCTTGTTTGGTTGCTAATAAAATGCGGGAAAAGAGAATGAATTGAAGCCTGAATCTCATCTGTTTTCTGGTATCTGTGTTATTATTTGTACCTTCTTCTAATGCGGCCGTGTTTTTGTTGCTTATTCTCTTCTCTGTTCTGTCACGGGGAATGTGAAATTCAGAGTAGTGTGTTTTTTTTTTTTGGGACTTTGGCTCTTTTGCTCTCTAACAAATATTATTTTGGCTTAATTTCCAACCGATGGAACCTTAATTTTCTTTGCAAAATTTTTTGCAGAAGTGGTGAGTGGAGACGGTGGCCTACATGGGAAGAAACAAGCTTCTATTTGCTGACTACTGGTAACATTGTGAATGGAGTCAGTGGTACAAACAAACTCAGATACACCATCATTGTGAATTGGGAATTTGATAAATTGTCAAATTTCCTGGTGTAAGCTCAGATACTTGAAAATGTTAATTTCATTTGTCCATTATTTTAATTTTTCAGAATAAATTTTGTACAAAGAAAGGGGATTTGTGTAGGTCTTGCTTAGATGGAGCATAAACTTTTCTTTCTATTTTGTGATTTTTGAGCACATTTTGTTATGTTGCTTTGATATCAATAATCCAATTTCCATCTTTAACTCTCAGATAGAGAAAGCATCAAGCCAGTAATAGTATTACCTAGTTCTCAGCTGTTTTGTACAGTAAATACTTCATTAAAATGAGCTAGATGTGAGATAACTTTTGCTCGTTTGCAAATCTTATCAAGCTATGTTTCTGTATAGCATGTATTTGCTTTCTGCTCTTGTCTACCCATTTTCTTGATGTATATTCAAGCTTAGACAATTCTGCCTATGATTTCTTCCATCCAGCTATCTTTTTGTTTGGTAGTTTTCGGAGGTTACTTCAAAACTCATAGAATGTGGAACACATTGACCTTGAGTCATTAATCCATGCTAACTGTCAATCATTGGCATTAACTCCCTTCTTGTACCTTCCTTCCTACGCATGTTTGTGCATCTAGCATTTTGGAAACTGAGACTGTGTTACATTATTAGGTTGTTCCATTTTACTTCTTGGCTACTGTCATCACATTGACAAGCCGGTGCAGCTTGGCAATTCCATGCAGCTGCTCTTTTTGTTATTAGCTCCCAAGTATATTGATCATAAGCTATTTCGGTCATTAATGAATTTGAGCAATTGCTTTTAGAGGTCCCATATGAGTACATTTTCGCCTGCTCCTACCTTCATGGAAAGTGTGCTCTCTCTTACCTACTTTGTGATTGATAGAATTTTCAAAATTTCACAAAGCAGTTTGTTGCCTGAGAGGAATTAAAGTGTCTGGAAGCTTGGAGACACCCAACCACGCACATGAAATGGTGAATGTAGTGTAGCATTAGCAGATATAGACACAGAGAGACACAACATGGGCATTGGCATTGGCATTGAAGAGTTTCATCTGGCCCATCATGCATGACTGTTGGATTGGATTTGGAATTTGGAATTTGGGATCTGGGTTATGCTTATATGCTTTTGCTGTGTCATCCCTTCCCATTTTTGAGTCTTGTGAAAAACTGAATTGATGGTTTTGATTCTGAAACTGGGTTGGAGACATATTTCATGTCAATTTATATATATATATATATTATCTGGGCACGTTCATATTTTAGTCTCAGTTTCTGGCAAAGTATTTATGTCCTCTATTTCTGTGAAATATACACAGACATGAAGTTTTGAGTGTGTTGGTGACACTTTCACAGGGCCACGGGCTCACTCTGGACAAAGCGCACATCATACCTGTTAGTCGGTCTGACACATCTCGTCCGCTAGCAAATAATGGAGATGACTCGGTATTTTTCTCAGATTTACACACACACACACACACACACACACACACACACGCACGCAAATGTATATAAAAGAATATGATGGAATACAAATTGGAAAGCAACCGCCAAGGTTGGTCTCTGACTTGGCATGTTGAACTTTGAATACGTGTCCAGGGACTGGCTTCTTTTGGGACCAACAGGAATCAGCAGTCTGACTTAACCAAACTTGGGTGGTCTCTTTCTCTGCTTCATCTTCTTCTTTCTGATATGCAGAAATTACAACCTGATTTTACTTACACGTTTAAGTTCATCAAGAGAAATCCCTTAATTATAACTTTGACTTTTATATTTTGAACGAAGCCGCTGGGTGATTAGAAATAGAATGAATTGATCAGAGGGGAAAGACCAAATTCGATTCCCCATGCGTTGGAGGATCTGCGAATGGGATGCTGATGGGTTATTGGATTCCCCCCCGCTCCAGCATGATTCTAGCTTTTATCACACACACATATATATAAATATAATATAATATATACAAATATAATTTAATTAAAGAAAAATATATTACTCTAATTTTTTTTAATATTTATTTTAAAATTTATAAACATGTATGTTGTTATATTTTTATATGTTATTCAAATATTATTATTTTTTTTATAAAATATCAACGGTACAAAATATTATTTAATTAAATTAATTATAACGGATTAAAAAAAATAAATCAATATTTTTAAGAAAAATCTTTTAAAATGTCAACAGTAAATTTTTTATATTTTGAGATTTATATCACGTTTTTGTTGTGGGTTTTTTTAAAAAAAATTTTGAAATTTATATCACATTTTTATTGTGGCTTTTTAGATAATATTTTGGTTCAATTACCCAAAAAATTCGTATATATAATATTTATAAGTTAAGAAATTAAATTAATTAATTAATTAATTAATTTAAATTCATTCGTAATAATTCGTTGACTATGTTTGTAACCTCCACCAATTAAAATAAACTTAATTGACAAAAACTCTCACTTGCCCGATTCGAACACGGGGCCCTAGCTTTACCAGCCAACCTAAGGTCAGTTATTAATTAAATAATTTAGCAGATTATTACTATTAATTAATTAATTAACTAATTAATTCAAATTTTTTATAATTCTATAATTATAGATGATATTATATAATAATGAATAACATAAGACCTAAATAAAATGTGTATAATTGGCGTGAAATTGTAATTTTATTTTATTTATGTTGTATTAAAAATTTTAACCAAATTTAGTGTTGTTGTTTTCATTTTTTGTGCTGGTGATTAGTATCTTATTAGTTACTAATTAATTAAAATTAATATTAAGGTTTATACTCTAATTGTCATTATTTAAAATTTAACGACTATTCCTGTTTGACAACACGTTGAAAAGCCACGGTCAACGGTCAAAGGGGAAAAAGATCCAATTATACAATTGGTGGGTCACCACTTGATTTGGGTGTTGGCCTAAAGATATGCCCGATGACAATAACAACATCCCATATTTATTTTGGATCAAATTTTTGTATATATTATAATTAGTTTAATTAAAAAATTTATTAAAATATAATATGATTTAGTAATTATTGTTCTAATAATATATTAATTCATTCCTTTAATCAAATTTTTAAGTGTAACTGAATCAAGTAATATAATTTGATCATTATCAAATTTTCAACCAGTAAATTTTTTTATCGAGATTTAATTTAATCTAGTTATTATTATTCTACCAATACACTAACGAACTAAATTTTCATTCATGTTTAAATATCTATTCGTTGATATTATACAATATAAAAATTTTTTATAGTAGAATAATTTTTTATTGGTATTTTTTATATGAATTTATGTAATTCTATCTATTCGATGATATTACATTATATAACACGAAAATCTTATATGATATAATAATTTTTGTTGGTTTTTATTGTATGGATTTATATTATTCGTCTCTACACTTTTTTAATTTTATAATTTCTAGTTATGCCAATTACACACTTCCCAATTAATTTTAAAAGCACATTTCATGATTGATCCCACTTTTAATCTTGCTTTGATATTTTGTTTAAAAGAAAATATACTTGAGAAACAAAAGGGTAGATCTTATAGCCGTCAAAAAAATTTATAAGATTAGTATTGACATTTTTATATATTGTCTATAAAATTGTATGAAGCAATTTAATTTATGGCACATGTATTGTTTCCTTGGTTAGTATACATATATATATATATGTATATTTTAACTACCCATTATAAATTTAAAAATCACATATATATATATATATATGTAGGCACACATTATTATAGTTGAATGATGACAATCTTAAATTATATTTATGTTTTGAAAATTTGAGACTTATTTCAATAACTTACAAAATTGCCATTCTATTTACTCTTAGTTAAAATATGAAATGAAATTAATATTTTAATACACATTAATAATAGCACACATATTATTTAAAAATATATAAATATTTTAAAATAAAAATTAATAGAAAAATATATAAAAATTATTAAAAGTAATATGACCCTTTTTTTTCATTATAAGAGGAAAACGAGCAAGAAAAGAGCCGAAAAATATCACGATTATGTATTATATATTTTAAGCCGGGAGATCCTGATGATATCTTCAAAATATCACAATTATATATTATACATTTTAGGTCGGGAGATACTGATGATATCTTATGTAAATATGTTTGTAAAAATAATAGAAACTTTTAATGATTAAAAATTCTTTTTCTAAAATCCACTTTCCTTTTTCAAATTGATTTGTCTCACCAAGATTCAAAGACACAACACCAATAAGACATACGGCTAAATCAAAGCAATTATTTTTGTTTAACTTTATTTTTTCTGAAAAAATAAACATCAAAGAGTATATATCATGTTTATATGTCTCCTACTCCTATAACATGTTGATATACATTAATTATACACCATTAGCTTCGACTTCGAACTGTATTTTCGTGTATTTTTATTTGAATGTTATTTTATATTTTATTATAATTTGTATTTGTATATTGTTTAATGGGTAAATGTATAAATTTTTTACTAAAATACATATATATATATGTATAGTGTAAATTAAACACAATAATAATCATAATAATTCATATTGATTCCAGATCTGATCTCTCTTCTTCACTATTCTCATCTCTTCTTTCAATTTACAGACAATGATCACATGCTAATTCATGTACCATATAACATTTCAAGCTAAACCCATCTTTAATTCAAAGATTCACACGAACCCAACTTAAAAATTCAAAGAAAACAATCATGATTTCTTCTTCTTTCTAGCTTTGCCATTACAGAGTGAAGAACCAAATCCAAACAACCTCTCAGTTGCATTAGAAATAAATGGCGGCGCTGGTGGAAAATTCAGGACCGGACTGATACCATTAACCCCATTACCATAAGCTCCACAACCGTTCTTCAATGGCGGCTTTTGACTCGAACTGTACATGAAATAACCATTACCGACAGAGGACTTTGATTTTCTGGTTTGTTTTTGAAAATTTGGTTTCTGGGTCTGAGTTTGTTTCGGAATCGGAACCGACCCAGTTGAGTTGCTACGTGAAAGAAACTGCAGTGATCGGATTAGCCCTCTGGTTCTGATTCGTTCGCAGTTCAGACTGCTGCTTCTCTTGAATTGCCAGAAGGGTTTTGAGGAAGATTTGTTGTCGTCGTCATCGTCGTCGTCGAAATCTCCGGTGAGTAAAAATTCTTTCAGTCTCTTTTTCTCGGTTCTGATTTCAGCTAAAGAAGAACCAGGAGTTTCAAAGGAGTTTCTACCAGGGAAAACAGAGGAGCTGGGTTTGATGAAGAGAGAACTTGTTCTGTATTTACCACTACCCTTTTCTGATTTCTACAGGA